TATATTCTTATTAATGTTTGTTTATTTGTTTAAAAGTTTTACAGGCTTTTATTTATTTATTTAGTTTTTGTCTGTTTATTTTATTGAACAGATTTCAGGTTTGCATGAGCGAAAGAGATGCAAACAACCGCATCATACAGTGTTGTGTTGTTGTTCTAAACTAAAATCAGGACATGAGAAGGAAATAAAGTCATCAGATGTAGGTTTAGATGCAGGTGTTCGCGACTGCTGCACATGCACACACACTCCGGCCACGAGTTTTCATTCAGTGAAAGAACATTTTCAATTTTACAAATATTGTCATATTATAAAGAGAGCCATTAAGATGGAAAGTAATTAATGTGGCACATAATCTCCTACAATCACGTCCAGCGGAGGATAATAGCTCGTCTGTATCAGTGCTGTCAAAGCGTCTGCTGCATGCAGAGTCATGGCAACAAGCGCAGCACTGCATTACTGCAGCGTACAGTGACAGCGACTGGAAAAACATCTATTTATGGGCCCTTTACCATGGTACTTTTACTTTTAGATCACAGAATGAACGACATAAAAGTATAAACAATCCAGACAGGTTTTCAAAGGCTGCTCGTTCATATTTCATATTTTAAAATAAAATAAAAATAGACATTCAAGATAGAATGCATGCATGCAGAAATAAATGAGGTAAATAAAATGAAATATAAAAATAAAAATAGACATGCGAAACAGAATGCATGCATGCATAAATGGAGTAAATAAAATAACAATAGACATGAAAAATAGAATGCATGCATATGTGTGCAGAAATAAATGGAGTAAATAAAAAAAAAATAAATAATAAAAATAGAATGCATGCATATGTGTGCAGAAATAAATGGAGTAAATAAAAAAAAATAAAAAAATAAAAATAGAATGCATGCATATGTGTGCAGAAGTAAATGGAGTAAATAAAATAAAATTAAAATTAAAAATAAAATGCATGCATATGTCTGCAGAAATAAATTGAGTAAATAAAATTAAAAATAAAAAAAAATAGAATGCATGCATATGTGTGCAGAAATAAATGGAGTAAATAAAAAAAATAAAATAAAAAATAGAATGCATGCATGTGTGCAGAAATAAATGGAGTAAATAAAATAATATTAAATTAAAATAAAAAATAGAATGCATGCATATGTGTGCAGAAATAAATGTAGTAAATTAAATAAAATAAAATAAAAATAAAAAATAGAATGCATGCATATGTGTGCAGAAATAAACGGAGTAAATAAAATAAAATAACAATAAAAATAGAATGCATGCATATGTGTGCAGAAATAAATGGAGTAAATAAAATAACAATAAAAATAACAAATAGAATGCATGCATATGTGTGCAGAAATACATGTAGTAAATAAAATAAAATAAAATAAAATAAAAATAAAAAATAGAATGCATGCATATGTGTGCAGAAATAAATGGAGTAAATAAAATAACAATAAAAATAGAATGCATGCATATGTGTGCAGAAATAAATGGAGTAAATAAAATAAAATAAAACAAAAAAATAGACAAGCAAAATAGAATGCATGCATATGTGTGCAGAAATAAATGGAGTAAATAAAATAAAATAAAAATAATAAATAGACAAGCAAAATAGAATGCATGCATATGTGTGCAGAAATAAATGGAGCAAATAAAATAAAATAAAAATAAAAAATAGAATGCATGCATATGTGTGCAAAAATAAATGGAGTAAATAAAATAAAATAAAAATAATAAATAGACATGCAAAATAGAATGCATGCACACGTGTGCAACAATAAATGGAGTAAATAAAGTAAAATAAAAACTAGATGTGCAAAATAGAATGGATGCACATGTGTGCAGAAAAAAGAGACACGCAACAAAAGATAAATACATACATGTATAAAATGCATGAATGCATGCAGGTTTAAATGGAGTAAACAAAATCAATTAAACATAAAATATAATAAATAAAAATAAACATGCAAAATAGAACGCATGCATGCATGCATCTTTGCAGAAATACACTGACTCATCAAAACTCAGCATGTTTTTAGAGCTTCTTACTGTATATTTAGCATTATTTTAGCAGGTCAGCGAGGGTCGCAGAAGCAGCAGTAAGTCATGCATTACGGCCTTTCGCGCCGCTTTAGTTCCAGAACTAAATGTACAGTACTAAAGTACTGGGACGAATTTGTGCGAACTATTTCCCAGTACTATTTAAAGGGTTGCATTCGCATGGACAGTGTACGTAAGACGGTCGACACACAGTGACGTCATTTGTGCGCGGCGTTCAACAACGAAAACAAAGAAGAACAACATTAACAACAGGAGGATGGAGGACACTGTGATCGGAGCTGTGTTTTTGTTGTGTCTCGCGGGTTTCACAATAATGGACATGGAAAGTCGACGTATACGTAAAGCGATTGAAAGAACGGAAAGGAGGACTAAGAATCTCCAACGACAACTGGCAGTGCTACATTTGCTACAAGTGCCTGCACTTCAGCGTCCGTCCATCTATCGCTGTTCTCCATACTTGCGAAATAAGTTGACACAATGTTTACAGTATGTTTACACGGCGTTTTAAATCATGGCGGGTGAGGACGTTTTCGTACGCGTTTTGCCAATCAGTGTCTACTTACGTCACGATTAGTACCAGTTGTGCTGGTTAGACCCTGCTCCGGAGTAGGAGCTAATTTGGTTCTCGAAAAAGGCAGTCCGGTACTAAAATCGCACCCAGTTCCGGCGGTGCGAACACGCCAAAAAGTGGGTAGTTCCACAATTAGTTCTGGTACTATGAAAAGGTTCCTGCGGTGCGAAAGGCCCTAATATCTAGATGTACTGAGACACAGAACACTAGAACAGATCTCAGGCTCGTGGAGCTGCTCAGGAATAATAAACAAGACAGAGTCTGGACACTGGACAGCGAGACACTGTTAAAGATGCGATACTGTCTGTCGATGCGAGCAGCTGTTTTAGATGGAAACCTGATGCAATGCATCACTCTGTAGATCAATCTCACTAAACATGTCAAGAAATATCCAGCTTATTACAGCCAAAATCAAAAACAAGAAATCATATTAAGTATTATATATTACCAAACTGAAAATAAAGACATTGCACATTGTGACTTTTGACAATTAAGCACAATTTTCCCCAATTATCAATAATGTAATGCAACAATTGGTTTATCAATTGAAATAATATGATGTATGATCAAACTGAACATGAAGACCTTTAAAATTCTGATTAAAATAATAATAATTTTGCACTTTTTTTGACAGTTAAGCACATTTATTCCCAATTATCGATAATGTAATGAAAAAAACAACAACAAATAAATACATTGAAATATTAGTAATTATATTATATATAATCAAACAAAAACTGAAGACATTTTAAAATATTTTTAAAATTGATTTATGCATATGTATGCTGTTACGGGGCGAACGAGACGTGAGACGTGCGGATCCATATGCAAGGCTTTATTCAAAGACATGGTCAGAAACAGGCAGGGTTGAACACCAATAAACAGATATGTAGAGGGCAAGACACAAGAGTATTCCTAGGGCTAGTGTTGGTCTTCGATAGGCGAACAGAATCCAGAGGGCTTGACAAGAGGGGTAATCCAATAAACACAGGCAGAAGGTCAGGAAACAGACAACAAGGCAACACGAAGTGGCTAGACTAATACTAGAACTAGAACGGGCTCCGTAATGCAGCTATCGCTAGAAGAGTGATATGCGCTAAACAAAACTCGGCAGTTTGAAAGGGATCAGAGTGAGTGTTATATAGTGAATGTGTGATTGGTTACAGATGTGTGCAATCAGTGCTGTGTGCAATCAGTGCAATGGATGATGGGATATGTAGTCCGGGATGACATGCAACAGTGTGTGTAGTGCGAGAGTCAATGTAATGGAAGGGTGACCTCTGGTGGTGAGTGAATTGAAATTCATAGACCGGATTCGTGACATGCATTGTGACTTTTTTTGCAATTCAGCACATTTTCACAATTATTATTAACATAATGCAAAAATAAATTAATTTAAATAATAATGTTATCAAGCTGAAAAATATTACATTTTTTGACTTTTTTTTTCGACAATTAAGCAAATTCTCCCCAATTACTAAATTAAATACATTTAAATAATATTAATGATATTATCAAACTGGGAATCATCATAAAATCAGATTTTTTTGTACATTGTGACTTTTTGACAATTAAGCATATTTTTCCTAATTATCGTTAAAGTAATGCAAAAATAAATTGAACAGATACCAATTATATAACATTAAACTGAAAATTAATGCATAAAAAATTAAGAAACAAAGAAATTGTGAAAGTACACTTGTAAGTACCACATTTGAATTTATTTAATTAAAAATGTATCATTTAAAAGAAGTGTTTGGGCAGGATGATTGTATCACAGTAATAAGAATACATTTTGTAATCACTGTGCATTAAAAACATTATAATAAATGTCCTATAAAAAGGCTTTATTTTCTCTAATTTATTATATTTTTCTGTTGATTTTATGGTTACAACCTGTACATTTTTCCAGACTCTTCCTCCTACTGTACTCCGCACAGTACGTGAAATAGAACAAGTGCAAAATAGGGTTTGATTGAATGAATGGTGTATTTAGCACAATTACGGCCCAA